ACGTCGTTGCCACGCGACGAAAACCCAATCCCGATGGCAAACACCGAGTGGGGGGGCTTGTTTTACAACGTCGTTGCCAAGCGACGAAAACCCAACCCCGATGGCAAACACTGGGGGGGGGGCACCATTTAAGGAGGTGCAGAAAAGGGGTAGTGACGCTGGCTCTTTTTCCCATACTTTAATCCTATACAAAGAAACAAAACAACCTTCCCGCCAGGGTTTGGTTAGGCATTCTATTGTCATCAGTAGAGGGCACCATGAAGAGGCGTCGTGCGTGCTGGCACGTTCAGGTTTGCTACTGGAGCTGAAATATCGAAGGTCGCGGCAGCCTCTGACAACAGTCCGAAATCTGCGCCGGAACCAAGCGGCATCCAAAATTTGTCACAGCCGTGCTCACCGCCGCTGTCCGTAAACCTCGGAACGGAGGGTTGTCAGCAGTAGCTAGTGGCATCAGCTACTGCTGTAAACCCGTAGCTGAGGAGATTGGGGGCAGTGGCGGCGAGCATGGCTGTCGCATATGTTGGATGCCGCTTGGTTCCGGCGCAGATTTCGGACTGTTTTCAGAGGCTGCTGCGACCTTCGATATTTCAGCTCCAGTAGCAAACCTGAACGTGCCAGCACGCACGACGCCTCTTCATGATGTCCTCTACAGATGACAATAGAATGCGACGCCTAACACTCATAATTGACCTTGTTTGAGCGCCTTCCGTTTTGGCTTTTTTGACTAGAATTTAGAATGGTGTGAATTTTTATCTTGATTTCAAAGGAGGCGTGTGGAGGTAGACGCGTGAAACGTATGTGCTGAGCAGCCTCTACTGCCGCCCTGTGCGAGAATCAACGATTTCTGTTTTTCGCGGTGCGGGGTTACCACGTCGGATATCTCACGTACGGATTGGAAGAACAACGATACGGCCCATGGAGGGAACCAGACCTATTTTTCCCGACATTCAGCATCGAGGTAAGCCTTCATCGTTTTGGGCGGAAGGGGTGGGTGGGGGGCTTAGCTCTTCCTGTGCGTCACCCGTGATTCGGGCGCTGAGGGAGAAGCGATCGCCAGAAACACGTCCACCCACCTACCCACCCACAGGCAGGTGACAGCGGCAAGAGTTGCACCAATAGCTGCCGTTGTAGAGACGCGTGGCGGTCAAGACACAACAGCAACGACAATGACGACACAGGCACATGACAGCGGTAGGAGTTGCACCAATTTGCCGTTTTAGAGACGCGTGGCGGTCAATACACAGCAGCAACGGCAATGACGACACAGGCAGAATGACAGCGGCAGGAGTTGCACCAATAGTTGCCGTTATAGAGGCGCGTGGCGGTCAATACACAACAACAACGACGACGAGAATGACGACCACCCTCATCCCCATTACAAATGGCAATACTGATGCTACAAACGTCGCGGGCCCTCAATATGGGGCGGGTATATGTCCTAGTCCGATTCGCCCACACTACGGGGGGCAGTCGCCCTAGGTGTTCAGAGAACAAAAACAACAGCGCGAACCTTCGTTTTCTGCGCCAAGATAGGGCTGCACCCGCCCTACAGAGGACCCGGCGACGACTGCACCTACTTAGACAAGCGGCAATGACACAAACGGCAGCAGAGAGGAGTTACGGCTCGGTCTTTCTGCCTACCTCGGCCACGAGGTCGAGGACGCCGGCGTCGACGATCCCGACGCTATCCCACTCGGCTTCCCTCCTCGCGTTGGGGTTGCCGCTGGCCGACTCACGAAAAGGTGAGGGCGTGGGTACCGCAAGAGACGAAGCCATGCGGCTGAGAGAAAGAAGGGAAGGGGGGGGGGGGGGGGGGGGGGGGGGGACCCTAAAGGGGGGTGGCCGGAAGCGTTTGACCCTTGGCCCTTGCCCCCCCAAAAGGGGGGGGGAAAAACCCCGGGGTTTTCCCGGGGAGGGGTTTCTTATTCCCAAGGGGGAAGGGCGGGGGGGTTTTTGGGGGGCCCCAAAAAGGGGGGGCCCCCCCCCCCGCAAGGGGGGGCGGGCACTTGGGAAATCCTTCTTGGCGGGGGGGGGACCCCCCCGAAGAATTAATTTTTTTTTGGGGGGCTTCCCCCCCCAAAAGAAGTGTAAAACCTGTTTAACCTCCCCCGGAGGGTGTGTGCCTTTTTAAACCAGGGGGGGGGCGTTTCCCCCCGGGGGGGAGGGGGGGGTTTTCCCCCCCCCCCCCCAAATTTTTCTCCCCCCCCCCTATTTGGTGCCCCCGAAAAAAAAAAAAAAAGGGGAAAAAAAAAAACCGGCCCTCGGGGGGTCAGGTCCCAAAGAAATATTTGTGTGTTTTAAACCCCCTTCCCAAAAGGAAAAAAAAGGGGGGGGGG